ACCCATATATATGTGTGTGTGTGTTCATATATGTATCATAGACAGTCACTTATTGGCATAAAATAACTTTATGCCAGAAACCAGGGTCACAGGCCGGTCATGGACACAACTCATAACTCTGTTTGCGCAGAGCTGTCTTTTCGGGATCAGCAAGTGTCTTGAAATGCGATGTAAACTTTCTTTTACGTTGAATATGTAAAAGAAAAAAAAAATTGTAGCCACTAATACACATATATATGTATATACTCTTATATATATATATATATATACATGTACAGTAAGTCCCCAACTTAAGAACAATAGGGACTGAGAGGCTGTTTGTAAGTTGATTTGTTTGTGTGTTGAAAGTCAGGTCTCCATTGCCTTTTTTCCCATTGTTTTAAAGTTTTGTTTGCATTAAGAATACCTGCAATTAAATCCTAATAAGTAAGACATACCTTATACAGTACCAGACTCTTGAACTATATTCACGCCCGGGAAATTTTGAAGTTTGCTAGCATCTTTCAAACAGTTTTTTGGACTTTGGTATTTAAAAAAAAATTGTTTGTATGTATGGAATGTTCATAAGTAGAATGTTCTTAAGTAGGGGACTATCTGTATATATTTGTACATATATTCATATATATGTATATATACATATATATTTCTGTATATGTATGTATCTTTAAATAAACATATGTGTGTATATATATATATTTGTGATAGATTCATTGCACAATAATATCTAGAAAATAATCACCTGCACTGGGACCATTGTATTTATTAGGCAAAGTTTGGGATTGAAAGTACATATGAATATACATTTATGTGAACTTTCTTTTATATATATATATATATATATATATAGATAGATAGATAGATAGATAGATAGATATAGATATATAGATGTATTTAAATTTGTGTATATATAAGAGTATATATATATATACACATAAATATATACTCATATGGTTATATATATATATATATATATATATATATATATATATATATATATATATATATATATATATATATATATATATATATATATATATATATATATATATATATATATATATATATATATATAAATATATATGTAATGTGTGAATATGTATATATATTTAAATGATAGATGGATATACTTATATACATACACATAAATAGTATATATATATATATACTGCCGCGATAGCTCAGTGGTTAGAGCACTGGACTCCGACCCTTATGGTCCCGGGTTCAATTCCCCGTCGCGGCAGTTGTAAAAAAAAATGCCTGTGCTCTGACTGCTACCTCGAGCCTGAGAAAACGACATATCGGCTTGAGAAGTCATACGCAGGTGTCGTAGGGGAAGTCGCCGCCGTGGCACAGGTGTTAACGTGCCGAACCGCGGTTGATTAGGAAGGGCATTCAATCAAGCAAGGGTGAAACCGCCATATAACCTCTTAATACTGAATTGAGAGAGGCCTATGTCCTGCAGTGGAATGAATGGCTGTTGAAAAAAAAAAAAAAATATATATATGTATATATGTATATATATATATAGTTATATTTATTTATGTAGTTATATATATATATATTTGAATATATATATATATATTATATCTATCTATATGTTTACATATATATATATATATATATATATATATATATATATATATTTACATATCTATATACTTATATAGATATGTAAATAGATTACATATCTATATATATATATACATATATATATGTATATGTAATTAATATATGAAAATATATACCTGCATATATACGTATCATGTGCATATATATGTATATATATGTGTTTATGTGAATACACACACATATATATGTATATATATGTGTGTATACACACACATATATATATGTATATATATGTGTGTATACACACACATATATGTGTGTGTGTGTGTATTGTGTGCATATGTGTATATGTATATATATATATATATATATATATATATATATATATATATATATATATATATTTATGAAAATTATATAGGTATTTATGTGTAAAAAAATATATATAAATATGTATATCTATGTAAATATAAGTTGTAACTATATATGAATATATATAATTTATAACTTTATATGTATATATATAATATAAGTAAATATATACACATAGATTTATAAATATATGTAAAAAGAATTAAGAAGTATTTGTATATTTCTATTTTTGTAAATATATGTGTATGTATATATATATATAAATATACACACATCACACATGTATACATATGTATATATCATATATATATATATATATATATATTAATATATATATATATATATATATATATATATATATTTATATATATGTATGTATATGCATTATATATAAGTGTGTATATGCACACACACACACACACACACACACACACACACACACACACACACACACACACACACACACACACACACACACACACACTAACACACACACACACACTAACACACATAAACACACACACACACACACAAACACTAATACACACACACACACACAAACACTAACACACACACACACACTAACACACACACACACACTAACACACACACACACACTAATACACACACACACACACTAATACACACACACACACTAACACACACACACACACTAACACACACACACACACACACACACTAACACACACACACACACACACACACGCACACACACACGCACACACTAACACGCACACACTATGTATGCACACACACACACACATACACATATATGTAAGTGTGATGTCTATGTATATATATATTTAAAAAAATATAAGTATACCCATACTTATTGATCTAATTTTGTATATATTTACACACACACACGAAATGTCTTCCCTTCTGCCGATGTCCACGCAGGCAGACTGGGGAAATCCTCCTTAACAGCTGATTAATTTCCACTTGAACGTCGGCTTTCCTCCTGCCGACAGTCTCCTCGCTTCCCACAGCCTCGGCTTTCTCCCCTATGGCGGCCTCCCTGTGCATAGTATGGCCAGTCCTCCGACCTGACCTGATCTCTCTTCTCTTCCGTCCGGCTGTCCTCACCTGTGATTCTGTGTTGCCTCTCCTCTCTCTCTTTAATACTCTTTAACTTTAACCCATTCGCGCCGGGCGTCACGTATACATGACAGGCCCACTGTGAGTTTACTTGTTTAATTGTTTTTACACATAGATGGCTCCACTTGTACTTATACTGCCTGTCTCGCCTGTTTACCCTTTTCTTTAATTTACAAAATTATTTTGCGTTATCTTATTTTGCTGTTACTAATAGTAATTATAATGTTTATAATGAAAATAACCATCGATATTCATAACACAAATAGAAATACATTTTCCCGCCAATTCAAGTAAAGGTGAAATCAGGTAAGGCAGAGCCATCTAGTGGAGAGAAATTTCGCAAAAAGATATAAAAAATGAGCACAGCATTTTCCCCATTTTTTTTTCATTTTTACCCGGCACGATTGGGTTAATACCCTTTAATACCCTTTAATACCCTTTTGGGTTAATACCCTTTAATACCCTTTAATACCCTTTAATAATACCCTTTAATACCCTCCTCTCCCTTTCCTCTTCAGATCTCAAGGTAGAAGCTGGGTAGTCTTATTTTCAATAAATCTAGTTTTTGTAATGTGGGATTTTCTACCAGTTATACATATATATATACATATATATATACATATATATATATATATATATATATATATATATATATATATATATATATATATATATATGTAATGTAAATATACATACATGGATTTATATTTATAATATATATGAATGTATAAATAAATGCATATATATATATATATATATATATATATATATATATATATATATATATATATATATTTATATATACATAAATGCATATTTATATATAGATTTATTTATTAATATATATATCATATATACATATTCAGACATATGATACATGTATATATTGATCTTTATATATGTATATTTATATATACATATATATATATATGAATATAAATGTATATATATGCAGATATAAATATATGTAAAGAGTTATGTATATATGTAAATATATTATCTTTCTTAATTTTACTTTTTTTCACAATTGGTGACTGATCTTGTCATCTTTATAGTAATTTATTAAAAAAATGATGTAGCTGTTTATTATAGCTTTTCTTTTTTTTTCATTTTTTTAGCAGAGACGTTAATATAGACGTTAATATATAATATTAGACGTTAATATAGACGTTAATATATAATATTAGACGTTAATATAGACGTTAATATATAATATTAGACATTGATATATAATATTAGATGTTAATATGGACATTAATACAGTTTTTTTTTTTTTCAGTTTTTTAGCAGAGACGTTAATATAGACATTAATATATAATATTAGATGTTAATATATAATATTAGACGTTAATATAGATGTTAATATAGACGTTAATACAGAGACGTTAATATAGATGTTAATATATAATATTAGACATTAATATAGACATTAATATAGATGTTAATACAGAGATGTTAATATAGATGTTAGTATAGACATTAATATAGATGTTGATATATGATATTAGACGTTAATATAGACGTTGATACAGAGACGTTAATATAGACGTTAATACAGAGATGTTAATATAGATGTTAATATATATGTTAGTATAGACATTAATATAGACGTTAATATATGATATTAGATGTTAATATAGACGTTAATACAGAGACGTTAATATATAATATTAGACATTAATATAGACATTAATATAGATGTTAATATAGACGTTAATACAGAGACGTTAATATATAATATTAGACATTAATATAGACGTTAATACAGAGATGTTAATATAGATGTTAATATAGATGTTAGTATAGACATTAATATAGATGTTAATATATGATATTAGACGTTAATATAGTCGTTGATACAGAGACGTTAATATAGACGTTAATATACAATATTAATATAGTATTCTTGTTCTATTTTCCGTTCCATTTTCCGTTCACAGGCGAAGATGAGCTTCCCCGGCGAGCGAGCGAGCGAGGAAATGTTCGGCACAGGACTCGGCGTCAAGGAAGAGTTGAGCGAAGATCTCACGGACGAGATGTGCCTAGAGATCAAGGAGGAACCCCTCGACTATGGAGATGAGGCGAGAAACGAAGTGCGTGACGTGAAGGCGACGCAAGAGTGTCATTTTCTTCGCAATCTTCGCGATCCAGGACACGAAGCAGAAGAATCCTCGTGGAACTTGACTAAGGATCGTAATGACGCGTCAAAAGTGCCGTTCGCGGCTGAGGACTGCGAGGAGAGACTGCAGGAGGCAGAGACACAGCCGGAAGTGGGATTGGAAAGCGGTCTGGCAAAGCACGCCGGTGTACGTACAAAGGAGAAGCCATACAACTGCGAACTTTGCTGCAAGACCTTCTTGTACAAATCCAATCTCCTGAAGCACATGATAATGCATACAGAGGAGAAGCCCTACAGCTGCGAGCTTTGCAACAAGGCATTCTCGCGGAAGCACAACCTGGCGAAGCACGTGAGAGCGCATACGAAGAAGAAGCCGCACGTCTGCGAGATTTGCAGCAGGGGCTTTGCCGAGAGAGGCCATCTCGTGACGCACATCAGGGTACATACGAAAGAAAAGCCTTACAAATGTGAAACCTGCGACAGCGCCTTCTCGCGGAAACACAATCTGATGAGGCACACGAGAATACATACAAAGGAAAAGCCTTACACCTGCGAGGTCTGCAACAAGGCTTTTTCCGAGAAAGGTCACCTAGTAACCCACACCAGAGTACATACAAGAGAGAAGCCCTACCGATGCGAGATTTGCAGCAAGGACTTCTCGGAGAGAACGAGCCTAGTGGTCCACATGAGAGTCCATACGAAGGAGAAACCTTACTCCTGTGAGATTTGTAACAAGACCTTTTCACACAGAACTAGCCTAGTGAGTCACACGAGACTACATACACAGGAGAAGCCCTACAGCTGCGAGATCTGCAACAAAGGCTTTTCGCAGAAAAATAATCTAGGGAGTCACATGAGAGTCCATACAAGAGAGAAGCCATACTCCTGTGAGACTTGTGGTAAGTCCTTCTCGCATAAAACCAGTCTAGTGATCCACACGAGAGTACATGCCAAGGAGAAGCCCTACAGCTGTGAGATCTGCCACAGGGCCTTCTACGAGAAAAGTCGCGTCATAAGGCACATGAGAGTACATACCAGGGAGAAACCTTAAAGCCGTGAGAATTTTTGTATCTTCGTGGAAATGGATTATGGTGAAGCGCATGGAAGAGTACATACAAAGTAGAAGCCTTATATGAAATAAATCTCTCACAGTGTCATAACACACACAAGAGTACATACAAAAGAGAAGCCTTGTATGAAATTAAACCTCTCACACTGTCATTACATGAGGCCACACACAAGAATACATACAAGAGAGATGCCAAACAGCTTGAAAGATTTGTAATAACTGTTGGTATATATATATATTTGTACATAAAAGTCATGAGTCATCTAAAATGTTTCATCTAGAGGGAATGCACTTCCTCTTGATATAAATAGGGAAGAAATATTCTAAATTTTGGTATATCTCTTCATTTTTTTATTAATTTATATTACATCTATTATTGTTAATGTATATTTCTTTTATGCATTATGATATGTATTTAACCGATTTGCGCCAGGTAAAAGAACAAAAAATGGGGGAAATGCTGTGCTCATTTTTTATATTTTTAAATGAAATTTCTCTACACTAGATGGCTCTGCTTTACCGGATTTCATTTGGCGGGAAAATGTATTTTCACTAGTGCTATGAATATCGATGGTTATTTTTATTAAAAACATTATAATTACTATAATGTTATAAACATTAGTAACAGCAAAATAAGATAACGTAAGATATTTTCGTAAATTAAAGAAAATGGTAAACAGACGAGACAGGCAGTACAAGTACAAGTGGAGCCATCTATGTATAAAAACAATTAAACAAGTAAACTCAAAGTGGGCCCGTCATGTATACATGACACCCGGTGCGAATGGGTTAAGTCTTCATAAAAGGTTGACTGAAAGTTGTTGGCCATTTTGAAAAGAGTGTTTTAGCTTCAACCTTGATTTTATTATAATGCAAGAGAAAAAAAAAAAAAAAATGTGTGCATATATGTATATGTTTATTTTTATGAATGTTAATTTTATACAATTTTATCCATATTGTTAACTATTTATTGTCTTTTTATCTGTTTTTGGTGAAGAATTGAAATGAGGTGTTAATCCATTGCCGCCGGGGAAAATGAATAAAAAATTGGGGAAAATGAATAAAAAATTGGGGAAAATGAATAAAAAATTGGGGAAATGAATAAAAAATTGGGGAAATTGAATAAAAAATTGGGGAAAATGAATTTAAAAAATGGGGAAATTGGATAAAAATAAATAAAAAAAATGGATAAAAAATGAATAAGAAATTGGGGAAAATGAATAAATAATTGGGGAAGTTGGATTAAAAAAAAAAAATGGGGAAAAGGAATGAAAAAAATTGGGGAAGTTGGATAAAAAATGAATAAAAAATTGGGGAAAATAAATAAAAAATTTGGGGAAATTGGATAAAAATCAATAAAAAAAATTGGGGAAAATGAATGAAAAAAAATTGGGGAAATTGGATAAATGAATAAAAAATTGGGGAAAATGAATAAAAAGATTTGGGGAAATTGGATAAAAAAATGAATAAAAAAATTGGATAAAAAATGAATTAAAAAATTGGGGAGAATACTGAACTCTTTTTTTTTTTTATGTTTTTGTGAAATGTCTCTGTCCATAGATGGCTCTGCTAGTCCTTCCCTTGAATTGGCGGGAAAAAAGTTCTTAATTCTTTTTTGTTTCTCATCAAAAAGGGTTTTTATACCAACAGGTGACTGCCTGTCATAGATGAACGATTAAACGCTATTAGATTAAACATATAGATTAAATAGATTAACCCATTGCCGCCGGGGAAAATGAACAAAAAATGGGGGAAATGCATTACTCATTTTTTTTATATTTTTGTGAAATATCTCTGTCCATAGATGGCTCTGCTCGTCCTGACTTCACCTTCCCTTGAATTGGCGGGAAAAAAGTTCTTAGTAGTGCTATAAATAGAGATGGTGTTATTTTTAACAGCAAAATAGGGTAACGTTAAATATTTTCTTTAATCGATGAAAAGGGTGGACGGGCGAGACAGACAGTACTCGTAATTGGCTCAACTGGTGACTTAGTAACAAGTTTAGCCATCTGTGCTTAAAAACAATCAAGTTAACTCACAGTGGGCATGGCATGGACGTACATGCCATGCCCATTGGCAAAAATATATATTTTTTATTTATTTATATATTTTATATATTATTTTATATATTCTATATATTTTATTTATTTATATATTTTTTATTTATTTATTTTTATATATTTTTTATTTTTTATTTGCTTAAGATATGCTCATTCACATTTATTTATTTATTTATTTATTTTTTTATTATTATCTTTTAAAATTTTTTATTATTATTATTATTATTATTTTTTTTATTTATTTTTTAATTTGAATCTTCACATGCATTCCTTGTCTGACAGTTTTTAGGGTCAGTGGGACTTTGTCATGCAACGAATGACAGTCCGTATATAGAGAATATATTTATTTATATAAAAGTATATATACATATTTCTGTCTATCTTTATATGTGTATGTTTTGATATATATGTGTAATACATGTGGGTATGTATATATATATATATATATTACTTTTATCACATATTTTAATATAAATATATATTTACATATACATGCACACACTCACGTTCATATATGGATAGATAGATATATATACACCATTATAGATACATATATATGTATATGTTTATATGTATATACAGTAGAATAGATGCCAACACTGAAATGACAGGACAATAGATTAATATATTATTTGACAAGAAAAGATGTAACTTTAATTTGCTACAAGTGAATTAAATAAAAATAAATGCTGTTGATTTCCATTTTCCTCGTTTCCATTGTCACCTTGTAGCATGTCAAATATTATTATCTATTAATTATTATTATTTATTAATGTCATTATTATTTATTATTATTATTTATTAATGTCATTATTATTTATTATTATTATTTATTAATGTCATTATTATTTATTATTATTATTTATTAATGTCATTATTATTTATTATTATTATTTATTAATGTCATTATTATTTATTATTATTATTTATTAATGTCATTATTATTTATTATTATTATTTATTAATGTCATTATTATTCATTATTATTATTTATTAATGTCATTATTATTTATCATTATTATTTATTAATGTCATTATTATTTATTATTATTATTTATTAATGTCATTATTATTTATTATTATTATTTATTAATGTCATTATTTATTCATTATTATTATTTGTTAATGTCATTATTATTTATTATTATTATTTATTAATGTCATTATTATTTATTATTATTATTTATTAATGTCATTATTATTTATTATTATTTATTATTACTATTTATTGTTATTATCATGATTATTATTTATTATTATTATTATTTATTATTATTATTATCATTTGTTACTTTTTTATTATTATCATGATTATTATTTATTAATTATTATCATATATTATCTATTATTTATATAATATATCAATTATTATTATCACTTATATTAATATCCCCCTAAATCCCTTGCTTGTTAATATCTTCCTAATTTAATAAGTTAATATTTAATGCTAGTTAATATCTTCCTAATCTAATAAGTTAATATTTAATACTAGTTAATATCTTCCTAAATTAATAATTTAATATTTAATGCTAGTTAATATCTTCCTAAATTAATAATTTAATATTTAATGCTAGTTAATATCTTCCTAAATTAATAAGTTAATATTTAATATTAGTTAATATTCTCCTAAATTAATAAGTTAATATTTAATACTAGTTAATATCTTCCTAATCTAATAAGTTAATATTTAATACTAGTTAATATTCTCCTAAATTAATTAGTTAATATTTAATACTAGTTAATATTCTCCTAAATTAATAAGTTAATATTTAATACTAGTTAATATCTTCCTAATCTAATAAGTTAATATTTAATACTAGTTAATATTCTCCTAAATTAATAAGTTAATATTTAATACTAGTTAATATCTTCCTAATTTAATAAGTTAATATTTAATGCTAGTTAATATCTTCCTAAATTAATAATATAATAATTAATTCTAGTTAATATCTTCCTAAATTAATAATTTAATATTTAATGCTAGTTAATATCTTCCTAAATTAATAATATAATAATTAATTCTAGTTAATATCTTCCTAAATTAAATAATTTAATATTCAATACTAGTTAATATTCTCCTAAATTAATAATTTAATATTTAATACTAGTTAATATTCTCCTAAATTAATAAGTTAATATTTAATACTAGTTAATATTCTCCTAAATTGTTTGTTGTTATAAGGGGGCTTGGGATATGGAGACAGGGACCGTATTTACCTTAGTCACCCCTCTTGAACCTCAGCACTTGTATCGACTAATTCTGCACGGTCTTTCCTTCTCCTTCCTTTCCTCTTCTTCTTTTCTTCATTATTCCCTTCTTCCGTCCACTTCCTGAGGTGGTGAGAGGGTGGGAGGCATCGACTAATTCTGCACGGTTTTTCCTTCTCCTTCCTTTCCTTTCCTTCTTTTCTTCATTATTCCCTTCTTCCGTCCACTTCCTGAGGTGGTGAGAGGGTGGGAGGCATCGACTAATTCTGCACGGTTTTTCCTTCTCCTTCCTTTCCTTTCCTTCTTTTCTTCATTATTCCCTTCTTCCGTCCACTTCCTGAGGTGGTGAGAGGGTGGGAGGCATCGACTAATTCTGCACGGTCTTTCCTTCTTCCTTTCCTTTCCTTCTTTTCTTCATTATTCCCTTCTTCCGTCCACTTCCTGAGGTGCGAGAGCCATGCTGGGAGGATGGGAGTTTGTGACTGTCATGAGAGGGCATGATGTCATGAGAGAGCATGCTGTCATGAGAGCAATGATGTCATGAGAGAGCAATGATGTCATGAGAGGGTATGATGTCATGAGAGAGCATGCTGTCATGAGAGAGCATGATGTCATGAGAGGGCATGATGTCATGAGAGAGCATGATGTCATGAGAGGGCATGATGTCATGAGAGAGCATGCTGTCATGAGAGGGCAATGATGTCATGAGAGAGCATGCTGTCATGAGAGAGCATGATGTCATGAGAGGGCATGATGTCATGAGAGAGCATGCTGTCATGAGAGAGCATGATGTCATGAGAGGGCATGATGTCATGAGAGAGCCTATGTAGAGGGCATGATGTCATGATAGAGCATGCTGTCATGAAGGGCATGATGTCATGGAGAGAGCAATGATGTCCTGAGAGAGCATGATGTCAGAGAGAGCATGATGTCATGAGAAAGCATGATGTCATGGAGAGCATGATGTCCATGAGAGAGCATGCTGTCATGAGAGGGCAATAATGTCATGAGAGAGCATGCTGTCCATGAGAGAGCATGATGTCATGAGAGAGCATTCTGTCATGAGAGGGCAATGATGTCATGAGAGGAGCATGCTGTCATGAGAGAGGCATGATGTCATGAAGAGCATGCTGTCATAGAGAGCATGCTGTCATGAGAGAGCATGCTGTCATGAAGGGCATGATGTCATGAGAGAGCATGATGTCATGAGAGGCATGCTGTCATGAGAGAGCAATGATGTCATGATAGAGCAATGATGTCATGAGAGAGCATGCTGTCTGAGAGGGCATGATGTCCATGAGAGAGCATGATGTCATGAGAGAGCATGCTGTCATGAGAGAGCATGATTGCATGAGAGAGCATGATGTCATGAGAGAGCAATGATGTCATGGAGAGAGCATGATGTCATGAGAGAGAATGATGTCATGAGAGGGCATGATGTCATGAGAGAGCATGCTGTCATGAGAGAGCAATGATATGTCATGAGAGAGCATGATGTCATGAGGGAGCATGATGTCATGAGAGAGCATGCTGTCATGAGAGGGTATGATGTCATGAGAGAGCATGCTGTCATGAGAGGGCATGATGTCATGAGAGAGCATGCTGTCATGAGAGGGCATGCTGTTCATGAGAGAGCATGCTGTCATGAGAGGGTATGCTGTCATGAGAGAGCATGATTGTCATGAGAGAGCAATGACTGTCATGAGAGAGCATGCTGTCATGAGAGGGTATGATGTCATGAGAGAGCATGATGTCATGAGAGGCATGCTGTCATGAGAGAGCAATGATGTCATGAGAGAGCAATGATGTCATGAGAGAGCATGCTGTCATGAGAGGGCATGATGTCATGAGAGAGCAATGATGTCATGAGA